TTAGATAAAAGGGTTTTTAAAGTTTATCTATTTAAAAGATTTATATAAAGAGTAATATAAGCTAAGAATATCTTTAATAATATAAGTTTATTAATATTAGAGTTTATTATTTATTTATAAAAAAGAGATGTCTTTTTTAAAAAAAAAAAAGCTAGTTTAAATAAGACTACTATTTTCATATTAATTAACTTAAAAGAGACTTAAAGTCAACTTAAAGATAATTCTTTTAAGATAGTATAAAGCTTTAAAAAAGATCTTCTATAATATAAAAACTATATTTATATTTCTAAAGATCTAGCTTTATAGATTAAATTTATAAAATTATATTATAACTATCTATATATAGATTATTTTGGTGTTATTAGAATTGAAGATTTATTTAATTAAAACTATTTTTAATTAGATATAAGCTAAGATATTAAGAATTATATTTAGATATATAAAATTTATCAATTAATAAAGATATATTAATATTAGTTATATAGATAATTATAATCTCTTTCTATTTCTAATTAATCTGAATAAAGTCTAATAATAGATTTTATAATAGATTTACTATTTAGTAGATAGAAATCTAAAGTTTATAATTCTATTTTAATTATAATAAATTAATATACTAAATTTATAATCTTTATTCCTTTAAGAAAGAATATAAATACTAAAGAATTTATAAATATAGTTATTGAATATATATTTAACTAGATTAGCTACTTTAATAACATTATATTAGATTAGAGAAGTGTATTTATTAGCTAATTTTAAAAGGAAATCTATTTTTAATTTAGAATTAGATATTAACTTAGTACAGCTTTTTATTTATAAATTAATAATCAGACTAAATATTTAAATTAAATCTTAAAGTATTATTTATATTATTTTTTAAATTAGTAATAAAATAATTAGATTATTCATCTAATAGCTATTCAATTTATATATAATAATTTAAAGTATTTAAATATTAAAATATTATTATATTAAGTTTTAATTAGCTTTAATTTAAAAGCTTTCTTTAATAAGTATATTAAAGAATTAAAAAATTAAATAGTATAAGAAAGAATTAAGATATTTAAAGAGATCTATAAAAAATTAAAAATAAATCTAGATTAAGTATTAAAAGTCTAAACTAAAATATATAATAGCTGTTATAAACTGTAAAAATATATAATTAGAGATTAAATTCTTTTAAATTTAAAGAATATATATATTTATAAATCTAGTAAAAAGTTAAACCAAAATTTTAAAAAATTTTTTAAGATTATTAAAAGAATCAGTAAGTAAATTTATTAACTTTAATTTTCTATCTAATAGTATAGAATTCATTTAATATTCTATATTTCTTTTCTAGAACTATATTATTCACGTTAGAGAGCTAAAGTAAAGGAAATCTAATCAATTCTAATTAATAAAAAAGAAGAATAAGAAATTAAAATCATTATTATTTATTAAAAATAGAGAAACTATACTAAATATCTAATTAAATAGCTTAATTATTCTTTCTATAAGAATATATAGATTGATAAAACTAGATTAGAATATACTTAAGAACTTCTATAAGAATATAAACAGTTCTTAATATATAAAATAATAAAAAAATAATATTAAAAAATAATTTAATATATTTTTTTTCTATTAAATTCATTTATAATTATATAGTCTTATTTCTTATATCTAAAAAATAGATATTTATTATAATTTTTATTAATTAAATACTAAAAGAATAATAGAACTTAAAATATTTTTTTAACTTTAAAATAATACTAAAAAGAAAAATCTAATAAATTTTTTTTTATTAAAGATTTTTATAATATTAGATCTCTATCTTAAAGCTAATCTAAAGCTAACTTAAAAATAGTAAAAATTCTATAAAAATAAAATCTTATCTAATATTATAATATTTTAAAGCCTTATATATAGATTAACTTAATATTAATTTAAAACTAAATTAAAGTCTTAATATATCTATCTAATTAAAAATTACTCTTCTTATTTCTTCTATAAAGTTTTCAGATTTAATAAGAATCTAATAAATATATATAAAAAAAGAAAACAATAATATTATTAAATATATTAAAAAACTAAAATAAATCCTTAAAAAAGACTTTAAATAGTACTTCTATGATATTTAATAGTATTCTTTTTCTTTATCTTTTTTTTTAAATTAATTCTAAGCTTTTCTATCTATATTCTATATTAATATTTATATATATTATTATTTATTTATATATCTATACAATTATAAAAATACTTATAATATATTCTAATAATCTAAAAGATTATAATACTTTCTTATCTAATTAAACAATTTAATATTTAAGTGTTATTATTTAGTTAATAGATTTATACTAAGGCTTAATATTTTTATAATAAATGAAGATTAAAGAAATATCCTTTTAGCTAGTATTCTCTATAGATCAAATTTACTTATTTAAAGCCTGATATTCTATAATAATATTCTTAGATTAATAAAGATTCTATATATAGTAAAAACTAAATAAAAATATTTTAAAGATAAAGTTATAATATATTATTAAATTAATATAATAATAATATTTTTTATCTAAATAGCTATATATATAAAAATATTATTTAAAATTAACTTTTTTAATATAGTATAAGTATAATTATTCTATCTAAATAACTAAATATCTATCTCTTCTAAGAAGGACCTCTAAGTAATATAGCTAAACAAAGCTAAATTATTTATTCTTTATAGTAGAGAACTTATATAAATATTAAATATTAAATATAGATAATTTAGTTTTAATATTTAGATTAATAAGCTTAAAATTCTTAAAAAAATAGTTTTATTAGTTATTATAATATTAGATTAAGTTGATTTAAACATCTTAATAGCAGTCTAAATAGATATTTTAATAGTGATCTATTACTATAGAGTAATTAGTTAAACATTCTCTATTGGAATTTATATATTAGAAATCTTAAAGACATTCTAGATAATATTATAGATAGATATTTTAATTTAAGTAATAATAACTATCTTTTAATTTTATTAAATTAATAAAATATTTAATTTTATAAATATATATTTATATTTTCTTAGTTAGAATATTCTTAATTATAGCTATAAAGTGGTCTTTTTAGTTTCTATTAGAAGCTAATTAAAAAAGAAAAAGCTATATAATAAAGCTTTAATATTTATAGAAGAGTTCTTTAATAAAGATATATTAGCAGAGTTAAATAAGAGATGATTGACTGTTATCTATTGATAATTAGATGATAGGGGAGCAGGTTTAGATAAAGAGATAAAGATAGAAATAGAGAGATTATTATTAGATTATATAATATTAGTATTAAATCTTTTTATTTAAAGCTAATTTAAGGTTAATTTAAAGTTAATATAAAGCTATATTAGTATAATATAATTTCTTAGATTTATATTATTAATAACTTATTTAAGCGTTGATTTAAAGCTATAATAGCTTTAATAGAAAAAAGATTATTTATTTTAAATATATCTATTTCTATTTTATAAATAAAGGCTTTATTCAGTTTTTAGTTATAAAGATTAATCTTTTATAAAGATTTCTAAATGTAAGTATTATATCTAATATATAAAGATCTAGATAGAGTTAGAATTTTTTATATTAAATAGCTATATTAGTGTTATATATCTATATATCTTTAATAATATATATATAGATTTATAAGATATTATCTTAAAAAATAATAAAAAAGAATAATAGAAAAATTAAGATTATTATAAATATATATATATTTATTAGTTAGATATTTTTATAGATTTTAAATCTTATCTATATATATTAGAATTAGAGGGTAACTTATCTAGTTATATTCTTTATTTAGAGAAGAAGAAGAGATAAAAATTTTGAATATTTAAATATATATTTATATATATATATAAAAGTATTAATCTATATTTAATACTATTATTTAAAAGAATATCTTTAAAGTTAATATTAATATTTTTATTCTAGAATCTCTATATTCTTAATATAAGATTATTTATATCTATTAAGAACTTAATTTAAGACTAAATCTTTCTAGAAAAAGAAATCTATAATAAGAATAGATTTAGAAAATATGTTTAAGTCTAATCTGATAGAATTAAGAGACTTAGAAATATCTTAAAAACAATTATAATATATTATAATTAATATTATAAGATTCTAGATATAATATTAATATTCTTTATCTTACTATATATATCTTTATCTAGTTAGATTAGATATTAATAATCTAAAATAAGGACTTAGATATATAGGCTTAATTTCTTACTTAAAGAGAGGAAATTAAGTAATATTTTTTATATAATTTTTGATATAACTTTCAATATAAATCTACTCAGCTTTGAATAGCTTTCAGCTTAAAGCCTTTCTTAACTATATAATCTAAACTGATAATTTTTTCTCTAGTAGCATTGCTCTATAGCATCGATATCAATTGGTGAAGCTTTAACTCACCCACATCGAGTCTATCCAGACACCCCCGGACACGGTCCTGCCAGACCGTGTTACAGCAGCAACCAGAAATAGCGGATCATTAATATCAGTACCTGATGATATGAAACTGGGATTGGCAAACGCTGGCCGCCGGAAGACACTTCTCAATTTAGTGTGCACTGATCATCCAAGCCAGCTAGTGTTAACTTGAATGAGGCATTTTTATTATCACTAAAAAGATAATCATTAGCAGTCAAGAAAACAGCTTTTAAAATAAAAATTAATATAATTAATAACTTTAATTAAACTAAGTACCTATAGAAGGAATTGAATTATGGACGCTTATGAGCTCTGGTTTGATATCTCTTTCGGAACAGTAAAAGTTCCGTCATTCCAGTACCGCCTCGTGCTTTTCAACATGCGTCTTTATTCGCTTTCCGAAACCTAGGAACTAGGATTAGTCGTCAAACAGGGGTGACGGCTGTAATTCCCTACTCTGTCCCATACCCTACAACCTCCCACATAAGCTAGCATATAACGATCTTATAAGCTACTGTTGGCCAAGTAACTGATCAGATATCTCGAATAAAAGTAACGAATGATCGTAATGGTAATCGGATAGTAGTACATGCAAATGTCCTTATATACTCCAGTTCCCAAGAATCGTCCGCTGTGATCTATTCGTAGTGTCCGTTATGATTAGTCACAACCACGAAGTCTCACACTTTCAGCGTAAAGTTCATAGGTATCCGCGTTTTTCACTGCCTCCTCCGCATTCAACTGTAAGCAATTGTCTCGTCCATATGCGTAGTCAGTGGTCCCATTCAAATGTGCTATACAAGGTTAGCGGCGTCTTGTGGCTGAAGGGAGTTCGGTGCTGACTCATTTCGTGCAGGATGCTGCCAGCACGGTCATAGTCGCTATTAGCACAATTGGCTGCAAATTCAGGAAAACCCCAATAACCATTGTTGGGGCACGGCACGATGGTTTTGTCGCTCACAACGGTATACAGAAGATGATTGCTGTTTGAACAATCGCCGTAAATGTCAGTACATGATATTCTGAGGTTGTTTGACAGTACGTAAGCTACGTCATAGTAGATATTTTTCGTTGTCGATAACCCTCCAGTATCTTTGAACCACGTGGTCCAATAGTCAGCCTCGGTGTCAGCCGCTTTCAACGCTGCAGTGGCCAGTGAGATGGCATCCGACACAGTATTTTCCAGCGACTGTTCTTGAGAGGGAGAGCAATTGACGTAGGTCACACCACGTTTCTGGATCCGAGAAATGCTTGTATCACGTCTCGAGATGTGTTGGGACACAACCGTGCTTTGATCCGGAATCATGGTTACCGTATTGGAGGTCACCTCCGTACAAAGGGACATGTTATGGAGGGATGTAGGCACCAGCTGACCAACCACATATTGAAAATTTTGGATAGCGGTGACGTTGACCGTAGCAATACCCTCAAGTTTGTAAGAGACTGCAGCATTCACCATGGTAGTGACAGTCTCACCGGGCTGGAGAGTATGGAACATTGATGACGGCAGGTCAGCTCGTCTGTAGTTGATGTACATGCCATTGAACGGTAAATCTGTTCCCGCTGCGCAGAGTTAGTTTACCAATGTTAACCGATGATCATGGCAATCACCTTCATCCTAGACCCGCAGGTTCTTCGTTGCGCGCCCATGCAATACAGTATTTCCCCGGAAAAACGTGACATTGTTCTCTCCAATATTGGAAATGGCAATCTGAATAGAATGGCCAGTAGTACTAGATATGTCAACTGATAAAGGGCAGGACGAGAAAGACATCACAACAGCGGCGCAATATGAGGCCATGAGGATTGTGGACAAAATCATTTTGATGTGGTGTTGCACACGATAATTGGGGGTAAACGGTGTAATAATTCAGTTGGGATGGGGTGGTATCCAAAATGACGACTGTGGTCAACAAATTGTTCGGATATGATACTCAATCAGCAAATCTGTAGGCTTTTATATCCCAGGACTAGCAGAACAGTTCAATGAGAGTGGGGGCATAGTCTCAATAATGTGAGCACGTGTGAAGGTAATTAGCGGTCATTTGCTCACCAGTGAGGTCGTCACATAATTGAGCGATGTGAGCCCCGTTGATTTGGGTAAAGTGTCAAGTGCGAAGTGCGGAGTGGGGAGGGAAATAATTACGCTCCGGTCGAAGATATAACTCAAGCCATTCGCCGATATAAAAATTGGACTGCGAAATAGAGCATTTCACCTTCCTAATATGACTGTAGCGCCGACCACGGAGAATTTCGTATCGTTAATTTCAAGGCTATTCCACCGTAGAGAATAAAATAACTCACTCATATCCACCGAAAAGCAAAATACGGTTGGTGCTTTAACCACTATACCCAACGATTTTGACTCGGATGGTCGCGCCAATGAACGAAATAGCTGAAACTGAGTTGAGAATAATGGTTAGTGTCGGTTGCGTACCGTACTATACTAAAGAAAAGCGCAGAAAACCGTAGATCTTCTAACCCTGGCGTGGGGTCAATTCTTGAAATTTTCTATAGGGGGAGATAAATGCCAGTCCTGCGAAGACCCTAGGCTGGGTTACCAGTGCGCAAGAATAAAGCCAGTCCAGTCGTTGGTAGCTAAACTTACACTGAACAGTGTCTTGAACCCAAGTTCATATCATCACCCTAACTTCCGTTTACCACTGTGAAAACTCCAGTGAAATTCATACGTTTGGCCTCTCGTCGGTGCTAAACCTCCTTGGTTTATTATGGCACTTATCAATACAACTCTCAGGACAGCTGCCACAATGAACAACGGCCGTTAAAAATAACAGTTCCATCCTTCAAACATTCACACCATTGACACACACCATCATAACTTGTCGCGAGGTCTCAGGATAACGCATATGGCAGTCAACGTAGACGGAATGGAAAACAACTGCCTTGCAGATCTTGGCCGATTACCAGTGCAATGTGAAATTCCTGTACTTTAAGGACCGAAATTCATATCGAGGACGCTCCCACTATTCTGATGGGGATGGAGGAATATTTTCACAACCCGACTCTTCCCATAGATTGGAGTTGAGCACCATATCCAATGAATGAAATACCGCGATAGACTAGTGATGAGCGCCGGTCACTGGTACTACTTTTGTTGGAAATGAATCCAAGCTCGATAAGCTAGGGATGGAGATAATAATGCCTACGTTAGGGGTTCCTTGGTGAAACTCTCTTTGAACTATGGAAAATACTAGTCCTAGTGTCGATGAAAAGTACAATTTGACATTCGTATAGATAACCTATATCCGTGAAAATACGCATCTACACCAGCCGCAATAAAATATACACGGAACTTTTTAACTTGAATACCTACTGAGTGTACTGTCCAACGTATCAATACCCCTTTGTAATCTATCTACTACATGCCTAAGATATTCAAGGTCGTTCCGGTCGTTTCCAAGAAAGGGTATGTCGAAACGTTCCTTGGCTTTTTCAATAGCTTCCCGTAAGTCTGGCAGGATGTTGTTGGCTCTGAACATCATATGGCATAGCTGCGTAAAATGCACCGTACTCTAGCTGCCGGGGGTAAACGGGGAGACACCCAGCATTCTGCTCACTTGTGAAGGAGTAACAAGGAATCGACTGAAAGGACGCATGATAGGTCGGGAAGCCGCTGCTGGTTGAGTAGAGGTCGTCAGCATGCGCTTGCGGAGGGGAACTTGTGGTTTCGGTATGGGAAATCTGCGATATCAAAGGTTTGGGATGGAGCAGTAGCCCCTTGTAACCCAAATCGATGCTCTCTGGAGGCGTTGGGATCGGCCTAGGAGCCACCCAGGTGTAGGTGCTATTTCCATGCTAGACCAAAGGATTAGATATGAGCTGGGGCAGATTGTATCTTTCATGCGGGTACGTACCTGGCAGGACGATGTCATGGGGTACTCAACGGCGTTCCACTCAACGACGGTCGACGCTGGCAACATGCTGAGCGAACTAGATGTCGGATAATTCAGGTGGCAAGCGAGAGGCTGCTGGCTGGTCGCGGCTGCCGCATTGAGTGCTGGCTCTCTCAATCGCCTCAGCGTCTTGTAGTTACGACTCCCCTTGGGTTTTCCAATGCGTGTCGCAAAGCTATAATGGCAGCTATTGTGGTGCCTTTCGCAGTACATGCATGGTGTTCCTCCTTTGCAGCGCACCTTGGCCTTACGGCATGCGTCACAAGCTGATCGAAGCTTGGGCATCTGAGTGTTAGCCATCGCGAGTAACCTCAGCAGTCAGTCTGGTATATCTGCGAATTGACTTTTCAACAAACCTCTGGCTGTCCATGGAGACTTTAAAGTAAGGCCCATAATTTTATTTATAAGCTCATCGAGCGAAATCTAATCAATTCTAGCCTAATCCCGGTGGCTGAGTACGGTGCTTTGCTTCGTTCCACACCGTTATCAGTGAACGACCCAACTTTTAAAACGAAGGGATCCACGTTTTTCATTTCCCGTCTCGCGAAGGGATCCCCGCAACCAATTTTACAGCTCCTAGTGTTGGCACCTATCTTCGGCCAATTACCGGCGTAATGGCCTGTCAGCAAAACCACGCCATTGTTACCAGACAAGAGTCGGAGTGTAGGGCGTAAAGTATGGCCATTTTTATTGTCTCAACACAAAATTATATATAAGCCACGGTTCAAAATCTAGTATACTGATTAAAATTAACATAAATACAATGTGATTTATTCTATTTCTATATATCCTTCTGAATATTAATATGTAGCTAATTATTTTCTTTCATAATTTTGTTGAGATTAAGAGAAAATTAAATGGCCTTTTTTTAGTGTTAGATAAAGCGCCTCGTCGGCGAGGTGGGATTTAATAACCCTCGCACATCCAGAAGATCATTTTGATGCAACGTTATTTTCCACTCCGAGGCTCCCTGTTGAATCTCGTCCATCCCGCCCTTATGCGAAACAATATAATTTTACAAAAGGCAACTAGAGATGCGAAATCAAAGTACGCAGCGAGAGCTGCCTCTAGGGTGCTGATAATCACGCCAGAGTTGAATAGATCATCTAGAAGCTATCTTATAGTCAGAATATCTATATCCTTGAACGATTCTTGGAACTTGCACTCACATAAAATACGCAGACACCTCCCTCGCGGATAGTCCTGTAGTGAAGAGCTAACTTTGGCAAGACTGGGTGAGAAAAACGATCAGGCTAGTAATACTTCTCTAGTTCTAGGTTCCTAGATCAATAGAACCAATCAGGGCTAGTACCGATAGTGAAACTAATCGCGGTGCTGGGGACCAGTACTCAGGCTGCACGCCTTTGTGACTGTCGCTTGAGGAAGCTAAGTCCTGCCAAGTCGATCGCGCCAATATAGAGACACCTATACTCCGTACACGTGTCGCCCGAGACATACAGGAGCCGACGTCGTGGCTGATGTCGGCCGGGGAATAGCATCTTGGATATCGGTTCTTGCCCTGATTCCCGAAACTATTACTACACACGGCACTGATCAGCGAATCTGAAGTGGAGACTTCGGACAGTACATAGCACGGAGTACCTAGACATTATTCTAGTTGGCGTAACGCCACAAAACTTAATGCAACGAGCTCGGCCTCAGCAGGGGCTTTTGGCTTCAAATGGATACTCGGCTTATGCGGCTTCGGGGTGGGAGCTGGGGGTAATAGTCAGTTCCTCAATCTTGAATTTTGGGAATGAGGGATTTTTCTCATTGCTAGAAACCGGTTCTGGGACTCGTGATACCAAGTGTGGGATTACAACCTTATGGTCTTTTGAAAGTCGCTTCTCAAAATAGTTCAACTTACCCGTCTGCCACAAACTTGTTTGACGGCGCCTTAAAATGACAAGTCTCCCTATGCTTCGATCCAGTCTAATGATGTTCACCAGATGTGCAAAGCATAATCTGCTCCCCGGACTTATGAAATGGGCACTTTGACGCGCTACTGAAACGGGAATTGCCGTACTTTTTGAGGGAAAATAGAATTTATCTATTTCATGACATCATGATCATGAATTTACCATCAATCGGGCTTTCCATGCTTGACCCTTTAGTCAGAATGTATGGTATATCAGCGACTATTCGATACAACACCGAGGCCTACTCCAGAGGCCTATATTTATCAGATGACAAATTACTGAGAGAAGGATGGCTGTTTATGGCGAAATAGAGTGCGGTCGATGTCAAGCCCTATCCTGGAGTGACGATTCATAAGTGGTTTTTTAACAACATTCATTCAGAGAAAGCTCATGTGTCAAGCCTCCCTAATTTATTGAAGCCTGATTTCCAGATGAGACATACCAATACGAAACTATTCGCATAATTAGACTACACAAATAAACTTAAGAATAACAATCTGCATTGTGCTGATGCTTATTGTCGAAATCCATCCATAGAGTAATAAAGGAGCGGTGTAGTATTATTTTGAATTCACCACGATTGTAAGATTGTGAATTTCCACCACATGGACTTGGTTGATTCTGAAACGCCGTCCGAAATCATCGCCTTCCTATTCGGGAAATTTTAACTATCACCCCTTTGTATTTGAGTTGCCTCTGGTTCGCTTCATCTAAACAAGCTTCACATCACCCTCATCGACTCTAAAGTCAAAATTGTCTAAGGCCACCACCTCGCTCTCATTAAACTGACGAGATTGTTTGATGTAATTAGTCCAGCCGCGGTACATTCGAAGACGAGACGAAATAATCGTGCCAGGCACTCCGCTGAGCTGATAGAGGTTGACAAATGGCATTAGTTGAACGGGCTTCAAACCTCTGTGATCGGAGAATAGCTTACTGCTAACATTGTCATCGCCACCAGAAATTGCGATTGATCCGGGCCTATGCCGTCAGCTAAAGGCATGCAGAATTGCTTGTCTCCATTCGATGAGCTTAAGCACGAGAACCACGCTTGAATAGCAACTGGGTCGTACTCGACGAATGGTTTCTGGCGCATCAAGACGGATGCCAAATAGATGGAATAAATCAAGATGATGACGACGATCACGGTAGGATGCCACTGCATCTGGACAATATTTTTAACTCGCATGGAAGCTTGTTTCATTTCGACCATATACTGTCGTTGCAATAATGTTAAGGAGCCTTGAATATCTGTTCTACAGAGGTTTCTGTCCTGTAGTAAAGACTTGACCACAATATAGCTGCAGTACGTCATCGTAATGAGTTGTAAGAACAGTGCAGAGACACTGATTGCTAATACAGGTACCCAAAGAGTCTCTCGATCATGGTTAGGTAGCAAGTAGCAAATCTTGCCATATTCATAAGCTAAGCCCGTCATAGTAAGAGCAATTGCAACGAATGCGACTGAGCCGACAAATATTACCGTCAAGGAGATAATTCGGAATAGCCTCCCAGGTTTAACCTCCCAGCAGACGAAGATATGGAGGGCGACTGATCGAAAGAAGCCTAGGCACCATAGATTAGCCTATTTGGTAGAATACAGAGGATGAACTTACAGCTGATGAGTAAGATGAAACATCCCAAGAGAAGCAAGCTCATACTAGGCCCACAGAAAGAGTCGGAACTTATGTCGCCTGGGGTGATCGGGTCTTGACAGTATTTTTGTGATGAAGAAAACGTCATAAGCCATGCCAACTAGCAAGGAGTCAATTAGAAGGGATTTCTTGTGCCTTGGAGGTCGCTTACATTGATGATGATAATGGCAAGTATTGGAATAGTGGTGAGGTAGTGACGGTCAGTCGTTTCCTTCGGAAGCACCATAAAGGTGATAAGCAGCAGGATCATAAATGGCATAACTCCAAGCGCACACCAGGCAAGTAGATGCTTGCTGTCAACTAGATCTGAATGAAGAAATGGATATTAGTTTTGGCTTCCTTCGCACTCTACCAACTGGATCTTCCCACCTGTCATGCGGGGGTAGCGCCAATCACTAATTGGGCAAGGCAAACAACAGGAAGAATTTCCTATAGTCTGGCAGAAACGTGCCAGTGAAGCTGTAGTGACTTAACAATTCTAGCTTACTTTGAAGCTTGGCTGTGAGACACTAACCGCGATTATTATTGGGATAAAGAGACTCGTCAAGAAGGGGTGTGGGACATTTCTGAGCCATTGGAACTTTGGCACCGTACTTTCGATGCCTTGGGCAAAGTTTTTTGCTGTTAACTAGGAAGCCTGTTACGAGATATAAATACACACTCTTTGACAATGCCGATAGAACCAAGAATTTCGATGAAAATGAACAAACCACTTTCTCCGAAAAGATTGACCTTGCAATACCGGAGACCCATCATCCAGAAAATGGGCTCTATTAGTCCTACCAAAAAAAGGAGATAGTCTGGAGTGACTTCTGCCGGTGTGATGTGTGATCACCTGTACGAAAATCACAAACTTAATCGTATCCGAGTACTCCGTACGTGATAGAACTCGGGCCCATGATGGGCGACGATCCTTGGTCAATCCTTAACCTTTACTTTTCTGATGAAACATGTGAAATTTGGTGCTGCGTACCACTCCAAACTTTGACGCATTGAAAACCAATTAATTTCAAAATTTCCAATCCATTGCCTTCTTCATTAGCCATACCTAAGTCTTCCTGGCGATTTCGATGGGTTGTCTAAAGGGCATGGTTCCTCGGTGAATGATCGGATTCTGTAGAACCCAAAACTTATTTTCGAGACCAATTCAAACAGAGCTATCCCTGTAAAGTCAATTTGCTCCAGCAGGGCTATTCATTGAAAATTCATTTTTTCGACACACCCTTTGTGTATCGCAAGTACTTCATGCACGGGGAACAGTCAGTGGGAGGTGTGCTTAGCCATCAGGGTAGATGGTTGAACAATAGCAATCTAGTCAGCTGTAGTCTTCTAGCCAGAAATGGCAGAGCAGAATCAGCTTTTACCTTCGATACCCGACCTGATTAGTCGGTCTACTAGCCTCGCGGAATGATCAGAGTGGATATGCGCCGCAACTGGACTCCATACATGGATGGGACCTCAGTATATTTTGCGTAAACTGGTTTCCGTAGCTGGTAATTATTCAACCAAGTCAAACAACGCCATTATCTACTTTTACTTCTATTTATCTAAACATGAGAAAGAGCTAAGATGACTGGCCCCCTCCGGCTACCGGAACACGCCCGCATTATACCAGGGATACTTTAGTACGACTAGATCCGAGTTCAGGCAGATCATGCTTCCGGGCACTGATCGTCAGCATGCGATTGCGAAAGAGAACTTGTGGTTTCAGTGTGAGAAATCTTTCGCACTCGATCGGATAGTAACGGCCGGTGAAGAAAAATGGGTTACACTTATCGGTTTGAATTTGTGCTGTCGACACGACTCGCCAAAACCCCCTTCACCATCAGGACCGTCAAGCATTATGACTGCATCAAACAAGGGCCACGCTTCTTACATATGCTGTCCAGTCTGGACCCTTGAACGGGCCCATCACATGCATGAAAGCTAAAGGGGATGGAGAAAGCAGTCACATCGTGGACAAGGGTCACCGTGCGTACGAATCAGGCTGGCTGCGCCTTCACCTCCATTGTTTAGCACGCAGCGAGACGTGAAATGAAAAATATTAGTCGATTTTCTATAACCACAATATCCGCAGCTGGACAACGGAGTTGTTATGCTCGGTGTATCGGAGTCGAGGTTGTTGTGCACCATGCTCGCGCACAAACCCAACTCTCGTCCGGGGCACTCAATTAGGAAACTCGCGAGGCCCGAGGCTGGGACAATATTTACAGAAGGCTGAACTAAACCTTTTTGTGTGTACCTGGTTCTGTCCATATTTTTTACGATCATATCAGGTATCCTGCACCAGGTGACATGGTGGGCTAACCCGTCCAATTTATGGGGAGAAGGGAATTGTCGTCATCTCATGATCGAGCCAGTGATGATTCGAAGAGCTTTACAACAATTTTGATTATCACCGGACCGGGTTAGAGTGTATCGCTGTGAGCCATCACTTACTCGCTCAAGAAAGGACAGGACAGTTATGGCAGGAACAAACATCTGACGATCTATGGTCGACTTAATTTCCCGCGGTGATTTTATTTTTAGCCTGAGAAGGTTGCAGATTGACTATATTTGTTTAAGTTAAGCTGATACGATTGAAGATATCTACATTGATTGATTATGTCTGGCTTTTGATTTCGCATCTCTTCAACCCCTATTTCGAAATAACAAACGCGAGGACAGTAACTCGTCATCATCGCCACCTCGGTTAATTAATTACTTGTGTGGCCTAAAAGATGAACCAATAGTAGTGCTTTGATATCTGCGTCCCAATAGCTTGGGTTACTCCGGGTGGCGTGCTGCTCGAGCGACAGCTCCCGCTGTCAACATTGCGATAGAACCCAATTAGCGGGAGAGATGGAAAATTGAGAATTGAAAATGCTAGAAAAAAGAAAAAAAGGACACTCGGATCTACTGAATACGCTAATTGTGCCGCCCACCGCTAAGCTTCGATTGATGTATAGGGCATAACGCAGCTTTTCCAAGCTGCATTGGCTGAGGATCCCGGTCCTATCTACGGATTGATCGGTTCATTTCGCTCCCAAACCATCTTGAACAGGGATCCATGAAATTTGCAGCCTTTCGATTGGGCTATAGATAACCGAGAGAGTAGTCACCTATTCGGGAAATAGAAAGCAATAGATCCCAGGGCTAATGGTTAACAGTTACACATCGAACTAGGCCCTCTCGATAATAGGTCGATAGAGATGAAGACATGACCTCCCTTGTCAGAATACCAATGATGTCTTACATCACGATGTAGCATGCCACTGATGAGATAACCAGCCCTGATCAAACACTCACCCCGGGGATCGCATGAAGATAAAACGCAAATATTGGGACGTAGTCGGGGTGGAGACTAGAAAGCCACCATAACTGCTGCCCACCACCATCCAGACACATATATGACGCCACGCCCGACATTCGTTTCTTTTGGACATCATCTTTGGCGCTCTTATTGAAACTCAGGACGACCTCTGACTCAACCGACGGTAAAAATTCGCATAAAGAGTCTGTATTTTCTTAAGAACATTAACACCCTCGAAGGAGTTCACAATCCCCAAATGAACCAACAACCGCGTCGCTTTGCTTGCGATCGTTGCCGGAGGCAAAAGCTCCGTTGTGAGAGAGATATTCGGAGCCCGTTTTTCATGCCATGCAAGCGTTGCCGCAAAGCACGCACAGTGTGTACGATTCTCTCGGAAGGTCGCACCGTCAGTAAGAGGCCCAAAGAAAAAATTGTGGCTTCCCCCAAAGTTAGCAAAATGATCATAGACCCTAGACAGCCGCAAATAACAGCACTTGGCTTGGAACTGCCCGAGCAATCTCCTGAGGAAGTTGCAATCGTGTACCAGAACAAAATGAAGACTGGCGGACTGACTATACCAGTTTCATTGCAAATGGCTCTGGACAACTTACAACCCGAAGACTGTTCTTCAATGAATGGGAGCTCTATTGGTTATACGGTGCCCGTTTCCTCCCAGTTGGTCACGGCTCCCTCAATAGGAAGTGAGCGTGAATCCCAGATGCCGCTTCAATATGAAGATAGTAAACTTTCTCACTCATTGTTCCAAACTATACAATACAAGGCTCACATTTGTTATAGGGCCTCCTTGTTTAGATGATCAAGAACAGCATTGGGACGGAGAGGAATTGAGAAGACTGCTGGATATGAATGTTCATCTATTGAACTGCCAGCAGATAGTCTCCCAGAAGCTGATTATGCTGGACAAAATGTTTCCTACCATCGCGGTGAACAACCTAGAGACGGCCCTTCAAAGCCTCTTGGATTACTCACAACAATTTCTCGAGGTCGTGACGTTCTCTATTCTGAGAGAGATTACTTTTACAACAAATGGCGCCACATCCAGACCTGAAACAGTATTTGTTTCGCAAGCGTGGTTCGACATCCATATATCATTAGTACTGGCTATCATCAATTGCTATGCTTGCTTGATGGGGAGCTATCATTTAATCTTCTCATACCTTTTAAAAGAGCTAATAGCATGCTCACCTCAACCATCGCCGACCTTTCCAAATTTTACCTTTCCCACCCTTCTTACTGATGGCGAGCCCAGTCGTAAGTTACAGTTGCGATTAATTTTCAATAACGGCATTCGCATGCTAGCACGCCTGGAGGCGGGTTTGGGTCTACCAGAACAGTACTCAGTTGCCTGTTTGCCAGGGCAATCACGTCACCACGATGGGATTTTACGCAGCCCGTCTGCTATGGTCTTTCTGGACAACCTTACAAGCCAAGGATTCAGACTGTACGTTAATGGACCTGCAACGGGAAAGAAGTCGTCCAAAGAAATTGTGCAGGCTATACATCAATTTCTAGGCCCTGCAGCCTGACATACTTTCCATTGTATCTTTTTATTGTTTTAGTTCGCTGCATCTCATTCTGGAAAGACGGTCAAATAAAGGGAAGGGGGGGGGGGGAAAGACATTATTTGGTCTGACGTTCGGATTATGTATAATAATACGTGAATGTTAGGGTTAGGGTTATATTTGCTTACTGCTGCTCTCTAAGCAGCCCCACTTAGTATTCTATTATTCACATATGTATACTCTATATATATATTCTTATTAGATACTTATATAATAGCGTCTGCTATGACATTTATTGATTATAGTTTATCGATTCTTATGAAAATTAAAAGTATTATTAGAAAGCTAGATAGATCTAATTCATATAGAATAAGCTCTATCAGACTCCATGCAGCTAAAATCTTATTATAAAAACTGCAGACTGGCTAGATAATAGGCGGAAAAGAGCAATCTTGAGATATATACATAGATAGAAATAACTATTTCATAGATAATTAATCTTATTCAAGATTTAGATCTTTATTAGCTATAAATGCCATCTATACATCAGATCTTTTCGAATCTATTTATATTACAGATATCACATATTAACAATGGGCATTACACATTACATATGCTTGGAGAAGTTTTTATTTGTCTCTAAGAATGGCAGTAGATTTGACCCAGATTTATAATATTACCAACTCTAGGTGCTGTAAACCCACCACTCAAGCTTTCCCTGTTATGGAATTTCGAGATAGCGCTAGCTAAGTTTTGCGTTCTACCACAAAATTTGGAATAATCTGTCCAGATTAAAAATATTCCAGCTTTCTCGCTAGAGCGAACTGCGTGGGTTTCGTACCTAAGGGCTATCGCCAGATTAGGCAAGTAAAGAGCCAATCAGTGCCTATCAGGGCCCACCCTAGTCCCGAAAAGGATAATTATCAACCAATCATAGGTCTGTTACTCCGTCCAGCCAAACTCGTCAATAATAATAGCTCATTAAAGCCCAACTTTCAAGTTTGAACTAAAACCTATATCTTCTTTTTAACCCTACAAAATCGTCTGTATCTCACAAGTCTCCCATTCCAATTCATCGATTTTTGTTCCGCTGATCGCTACTCGACAGTCTCTCTACCACACCACAACTAAATAATTCACCTCACCTCCCGAATGAGACCGAAGAAATAGAATACATCAGAAAGACAAGACACGGAAATGTCATTGAACTGCAAGAATCGGGATACTGGCAACGATTTTGATGGAAATACAAGAGAAACTTCGGAGTCTGAAACATCCAATTATCCCTCAGGCCTAAAATTGATTTTCATCTTTGTGGCTCTCTGCTTGACGGTCTTCTTGGTCGCCTTGGTTTGTATATCAACAGTCCCTGCGCCTCCTTGGACCACTTGATGATATCAAAACTGGCTAATGAGCGAAAATACGAACAGGATCAAACAATTATAGCTACCGCCATCCCAACCATCACCTCTCAATTCCATAGCGTGGAAGATATTGGATGGTGGGGTAGTGCTTTTCTGCTCACGACTTGTAGCTTCCAACTCTTCTTCGGCAAGCTTTACTCTCTATTATCCATCAAGTGGACTTTCATTGGTGCCGTCTTAATCTTCGAAATCGGTTCGGCTATTTGCGGCGCCAGCCCCAATTCCGTTGTCCTTATCGTTGGTCGAGCTGTTGCTGGTATTGGAGGCGCAGGCATCTTTTCTGGAGCACTGATAATCATCGCGAAATCAGTACCCCTTTCGAAGCGACCAGCCTTTGCAGGAGTTATAGGAGCTGTGTGGGGCATAGCGAGTGTAGTTAGCCCTTTATTAGGAGGCGCGTTTACAAGTGAGGTCTTCTTGCCTAGAACTATCGTGTCACAATGTGTTACGTCTAATTATCCTAGGTCATGTCTCTTGGCGCTGGTGCTTCTACAGTACGATACTTCTAGCTTCTGGTGAACTCGAGCTAACAATTTCCAGTCAATCTCCCTATCGGTGCCCTAGCCCTCCCGTTCATCATTGTTTTCCTCCCCTCACAAGGTCCACAAATGCAACCGAAACAAAAAGGCTGGGCTATCTTAAGCCAGTTCGATCCCGTTGGAACAATTCTATTCGTGGCAAGCATCATTTGTCTTTTGATCGCACTCCAATGGGGGGGCACCCAGTATCAGTGGAGTGACAGCCGCATGATTGCTCTGCTGACTGTCTTCAGTGTACTTCTTGTCGCTTGGGTCGTAGTGCAATGGCGACGAGGTGACCATGCTACGGTACCGCTCCGGATCTTACGGCAACGCACAGTTGCATGCTCAACCTTTTATATCTTCCTAGGAAGTGCTTCATTTGTTCTGCTCATTTACTATCTACCAATATGGTAAGCTCCGATATCCCATCGCTACCGCAAGTGTCAAATTGTTTAACATCGGCAATACAACAGGTTCCAGGCAATTAAAGGGGACTCTGCAGACCAGTCGGGAATTCATAGCCTACCAACGGTGTTGAGTGTTGGTAAGTACATCGTGTCCACGCCACTGAATCACAGAGCAACTAACAAGATTATCAGTGGTATTTGCCATCTCAGGTGGATTTAGCGTTACTTTTGTGGGATATTACACCCCATTCATGATAGCAGGGTCGATGATAATGGCGATCGGTGCGGGTTTACTTCTCTTGTTTAGAGTGCACACTTCCCTCGTCATGTGGTACGTAAATTTCAAATGGCGCCTGATACTGCCCTATTGCTAATGTATTTTAGGCTGGGGTTCCAAATTGTTTTCGGTGCGGGGGCTGGGATGGGGCTTGAGCTTCCAAATATTGCTGTCCAGACAGTTCTTCCCGAGAAGGACGCCTCCATCGGGACATCATTGGTGGTGTTCGCTCGTTCTCTTGGGGGTGCTATTTTCGTCTCGGTGGGACAGAATATTTTCAGCAGTCGCATTGTCTCTGGTATCCAGGCTCGTGTTTCTGAGCTAGATACCTCTGTTCTCCTTCAGGCCGGAGCAACAGAGGTGCAAGAAACAGTGGAACAAGCTGGTTTGGGAGAAGCTGACGAAGTAGTCGCTTTAGTCCTGGAGATATACAACGAAGCCATCGTTCAGACCTTTGTACTCGCCTTAGCTTTGGCCTGTATGTCGATTCTGGGTGCAATTGGCGCTGAATGGCGAACAGTGAAACGCCTCCAGCAGAGGGACAGCACCGAGCAGAATGTTGGATGCGAGTGATTTTGGAGAACCAAAATTTGTGCATTTACGCGATAGCGAGCTCTCCCAAGGCCAACGTACGAAAGCGCCTATCAGTCACAATGTCGACTTGATTAGAAACTTAGTATGATAATAAAGAAGCTCTCCTCTCTAGTAAACAGTGGCTTGCCGAAACTTTTAGTTTAAAAAGATGTCAGAAAGACAGACTAATGCAGCATGTCTACATTAAAGAATTCCCAGAACCACGAATCTGAAGCTAACTCGCGGCTGAATGTTTGAACTTCCTTTACGGGATCCCTGTCTTGTAAAGAAGGGTGATCATGCTGAGATCCAAGATCGCTTACGAGCTTGGAGTGGCCGGGGCGCGTCTGGATTTGCTCATCTCTAGCGGCTAGTAGACTCTGTACTATATCCGCTCCGTTGGCAGCTCTTGGTACCGACGGCCCAGCACAGTATTCACTGCGAGTCTCCTGTTCTACTGAAGCTTCATCTAGCCCGAAAGTAGACTTTGATATGTGACCACGAAGCCACTCATTTAGTTGAGGCATTATTAGGAACGCCCTACTTAGGGAACTGCCTCCATCTTCCGCGTTGAGGTTCTTCGAAATGAGCAAGAGCCGCTCAACGTAAGCCTCCAGACGTAATTGGTCAACGGAGATGATTTGACCCAATGTGCCTAAGCACGCAGAAAGGGCCTTGTGCAGTTTCATCAGCAGGATTACCGCGTATATCACGCGGCCCGCATAAATATGTGGTGGCAGGGCAAGCATGTCGGATGTAGATAAGCCGATAAAGGTGTCCAGCAACCCTTGCGCAGCCATAATGATAGTTTGAATCATCGAAAAATATACCCTACTTGGAGCCTGTGCTTCGACAAACCTGGATGATTTGAGGGAATTTGCGGAAAAGGGTGCCTTGAATTCATCAATGTTGTGATTGATATGCAAGGCTAGCTCGTGCGCATATAGTGAACTGACGAGTCTCCCGAATTCGATGAGAGCTGATACAATCAATCATCCAAGACTGTGAAAACTTAGACTTCGAGACACATACATTTTTCGAGTAGATTATGTTGACTAAGATGCAGTCCTTCAACCCGATTTTGTAGACCTTCGATATTGCTAAGCGTATTGGGCTCCAATAAAGTCACCGATCTGCTGGGATCACTCAAGAACATTTCTTTATCCGCAACGTGACAAAAATGCTCCGTCGTCAGAAGTTCGCCAAGGAAGGCGTCGGTGGCAGATAACCTGGACTGCTTCAAATTGTCAATGTACTCCTCGAATCGTGGAGTCCACATTATGGGATTTGGACGTCGCATTATCAAGGAAAGACTATGTGACTGTCAGTCATGGAGTCCGTAATAAGGTGAATCAGTGAAGGCGTTCGACGTACCTTGCACATAAGAGAAAACAGCCCAGCCAGGCTCGCTGTGCCTCTGCTCTGTTCCACATGTCATCAATCCTATCAGCAGACTTTGATTCTTCAATTCGGTCCAGCCCAAGATCTATGCCTATAGACAAAGCCAGAGAGGCAAGTTGATTCTGATTCGTCCGTGCGTAATTCTCTGGTGCCCTGTACCAGAACGATACAACAAGCAGTGACTGAATAAGCTCAAGTGACTTCTCTCCTTTGAAGATGGCAATATCTGTCAGGAAGTTTCTTGCTTCGAATGCAAATTGTCTCTGTTGATCAAGAGTACAGAACCCAGCGGATGCGACACTCAGTATCGACATGAATAGCAGCGGCTTGGTCTTTCGCACATGTCTTGCTGCTATGCCGGGTGGGAATACAACAACAGGACATGCCGTAACATATTTGTCAGTGTACCGGTGGAAGATTTGTTCGGCTATCCTTGGACAGAAGTAAATGTCGACCATATAGTCCAGCCTGCGTCCCCAAGAAGGGCTTGGCCGGGAATGAACTGTCTTCATTGATTAACGAGGGGATGAAAAAGGAAAAGAGTTGCAGAAAAGACAGCGTTGCGGCAGAATCCATTGTACTATAGACTCACATTTGCCAGGATCATCAGAGCACGTCAGGATGGCTTCAGGCGATTTCGTTTTGAGGCCGAGTTTGCTTTCATGCGTCTTCGATGCTACTTCGCTGGTCGCTGCATTCCGTATTCCAGGGTCTCGGCTACTATCCCAGTCTAATATTAGATCTTATAATATTGCTAAAGGGATTGGGATACACCTGTTGCTGCAGCGAAATCTTTGGTCTCTGGTGGGACCTAATAGATCATGGGCCCTCTCGAACTCGGGGAATTCATGCTGTACATATTCATTGTTTTGCATAGATGGTGGCCGAGGGATAGCAGCAGCTATAGGAACCGTGGTGGTGCGTTGGCCACTTTTGCTCAGCTTAAATTTAGAGAAAGCCATTGTGGGCTTATGAGGTCATTGAATGTTGTACTGCTGCCCGGTGCCGTCACCGTGAGTAGGTTCGAAAATACGAGGTACAGCAGAAAGTCTGTCGGAATATTTGGCACTAAGCACATTGGGAAAGGATTAAAAACACCCAAAATTACGATCAATAACGCCAAAACGCCATGCCAAAAATCGACATTACTCAATTTTCAATACCTTACCCCTGATGACAAATATTAGTGTAAATTCGCATATAAATACGTCTAGATAGATGAGTTCTTTGCAACTCGGGCTTGTATCTCAATCCAATCGAATTTTGGCACTAGACTCAATTTGTTCTAACGCGTAAAAAGTCCGACAAAAGTAGGGAATGGTCATGTCAGGGTGGGTCTCTGACATGACACAAATTTTTGTCAGGCTTGACAAAATTTTCAAGGGCTTGACGTCAATCCATTTTTATTAACAAATTACAGAGGGAGCTATACTGTTTTCAGTAATAACATATTCTCAAATATTTCATATGACTTAATTATTATTAAATCTAGCTAATAAATGATGATCTTTATTAACTAAGTTATTGCCAAGAAATATTATAAATTTCTATTGGTTTATTTTAAAAATTAGTCAATAATATTGCTTTATTTATACCCACTTTACCCCACTATAAATTTCACAAAAATTGTCAGATTTGACAATGACAAGCCTTGTCATGTCACGTTTGACAATGACAAAGCTGGTCAGGCTTTTGACCAGTCCCTAGACAAAAGTAGGGAGTGGTATTGTCAGGACCCACTTCTGACATGACAAGATTTTTTGTCAGGTTTGACAAATTTTTAGGAGTCTAACACAGACTCCATTTTATTAATAAATTACTAAAGGTAAAAAGTATTTTTAAGAAAATATAAAAATTTTTAAATTCTTTATAAAATAATTTTAAACTCATCTATTCCATATATAAATACTAAAAATATATTAAATCTAATAAAGAAATAGATACTAATTTATTTTTATTATATTTTTAAATAATTTAATTTTTAGATATAGCGTTGTAATACTATATTAATAAACTATATAATTAGGATTAATAAGGCTTCCTTTAATAAATTAATAAATTCACTTAAATTATTCAAAATTTGAGATATTTCATCTTAAATAGTAAAAAGCTTATCTTTTTTAACAAATTATATAGCTTTTTTTTTATCTTTTAATATTTTTTTTAGTGATTATATATTCAAATAGATAAATATAACTATATTAATATTATCTATACTTATATAATTTCTGAATAGTATTAACTGTCAATTTTAAACTAAAAAAATATGTTTTAAAGATATAAAGATAACAATTATATAAAAAATATATAAAGCGAAATTAGCTAATTCAAAGAAAAACTAACTAATTAATTTCTATATAAATTTATTGTGAGGCCTGGCAGCAGCAAGAGCGCTGCAGGCTCACAGAGGCTTATAAGCGTGCCAACCCTGGAATTGGGCAATAGCCCAATTACCTCAGTATTACTTTTTGACATTTAGAGGTTGGCAGTGCTAAGGAGCCTTACAGTGTAATTGGGCCATTAGGGACGTTAGAGGCCCCTGATTTGATTCCCGCAGGTGTAGAACTACGCGACAGAGTTATTAAAGCCTAATCTTACTCGGCAAGTCTGACACTCCTGTCCTCTATAAAAGACGGTTCCAAAGAGTCTTTTAAGTATAAGCTTATAAGGCCTTTAGTCCCCAGGAAGCTCCGAAGCGTGGTTCACTTTGTGGAAGCAGTCCCTAGAAAGCGTGCAAAGCAGCGCCCCTAGAGAGAGGCGCCCCTTAAGAGAAGGGCCTTTTAAAGAGGGTAGAATGTGAGGCCTGGCAGCAGCAAGAGCGCTACAGGCTCACAGAGGCTTATAAGCGTGCCAATCCTGGGATTGGGCAATAGCCCAATTACCTCAGTATTACTTTTTGGCATTTAGAGGTTGGCAGTGCTAAGGAGCTGTCAAAAAGTTGTCAACAACTCGTCTCAAGATCGGAGATCTTAGAGGATATTCTGCTAACACAAGATAAAAGAGTCGTATAAGATCAATACCGGAGGGCTATCTATCAAGAATGATAGTAATAGTAAGAAGATTGTTGAATACTAAATAGTAATATGCTATTTGAGATGAAGATAAAAGACGATCAACTAGATATATAATGGTAAACGAGTGTCTATATATATTAATTAGAATATATCCATGAGTATGCCCCTTTAGAGCCCTTGATACGGAATATCATATCGAAGGGTATGATCATGTCGTATCCTAGCTCTGATGGGTCACGTGCTGGGTGTATGCTGGAATAAGGTAACAATATATAATACTCGTATTGCTGCATCAATAGCTGTGGCTAGACAGAAAGCGTAGCCGTTTTCAGCATTGTTCCCACAATACGAAATTGTACTCAATAACAATTTCGTTCATTAAATCTTATTGGGTGCTTATGTAATAGCGTCCGCTAACGTAATCCACCCCCGAACCGCCACTACCCCCAAACCGCCACTTCCACCCGAAAACATAATCTATAGCGATTTCAAATCTCAATTTCTAACCCAAAATAATAATTATATACAAAAAATTAATTACTAGTACGATTAGGGCATTAAGGTCTTCTATACCCAAGAATACCACACTCACTACACTGAAATTAGCGGCGTACACGCACCTAAGAGACTAGAAGCTCAGGCTCAACCAGAACAGTAGTAGCACTTTAAGATACCTCAATCTGACTTTGGATAAGCACCTAAGCTTCCTCTCTAGTAAGGCCTTGTTCGTAAGATATCTGCTTTTTAGACCATTGACGTTTTTGCTTCTCTTTCTCATATGCAGCCCATAAATCATGAGCTTCTTTTCATACAATTAGAAGCTCATTTATACTTATTTCATAAGCCCTAGACATCCGATCAATTGCTTGATCAATAGCTTCTAATAAGCTTGATTTGCGCTGGTTAATTCGCCTTTTAATTGTACTTAATTAACGCTTGAATTGACGAGGATTTTGAGGTATTTGTAAGCAAAATGATTATGAATTGCTTGATCGACTTGGAGGAGGAGTTAGAATCTTTAATTGGATAATAAACTATTGATAGACTCGATCTGGATCAAATAACACTAATCCAGTTGCTATAAAACTATTCCGAATAGTCTCAGCTTTATATACCATCATACGCGCCTTTAGAAATACAGTAAAAAAGTCAATTTTGTCAATATAGTTAAATCCAAGCCTCATCCATTATTCAACAAGCTATCCATATTGCCGTTTTAAAACAGCAAAACAGCCGACATCAAAAGGTTGCAAGAGATGAGAAGAATGCAAAGGCATACAGATTGGAATAATATTATTCTCAGTGCATGTACGGTCAAATTCAGCAGTTAAATGACTTCCATGACCATCAAGAATAAGCATTCAATATCTTCCCATTACACAGCCATTCGTACGAGGAATGAAGTGATTAATGAGCCAATCCATACCAAGCTTATTTGTTGTCCATCCATTATCACTAATACCGATTTTCCAACCATCTGGAAGAGTCTCAAACCAGACTTCTTGTAAGTATTTTATTACTTTAAAAATCACATATGGAGGTAGAACCCATCCAGTAGAATTAACTATTTCAATTGCAGTCACCCATTCTCAATTACCAGGCTGTAATAGATATGGTCTACTATATCAATCACTTCCAGTTATGACTTTTGCAGTGGCACAGAGCCCCATAGCAAAGCCAGTCTCATCAAAGTTGTAGATATCTTCCTATAAGATGCCATATTCTAATATAGCCTCTCATACGCGGTCAAAATGCTCTTGGATTATCTTTCAATCTTCGCATTTAGCACGTTCGTAGTTATATCTTCATGAAAATCACGATTTAATCTCTGAACGGCATTGAACTAGTTTATATACCCAGTTTATTCCAACTTATTGATTTCCATACTGTGAAAGAAAATAATTAGCCATTTCTTATACAAGAAATGGCCGGGGAAATAATCCTCGCTTATCTAGATTCAATATCCATTTAACAAGCGATTCCTCCTCAGATTCAGTCAATTTATGCCCATTAGCGCGTATTTAAGATCTTTATTGGGTGCCATTTAGTCGATCTCGGAGAATTGTTCGAGGAACATTATAAATCTTTGCAGCTCGTCCAATATTAGGAATTCTTTTATTTTTTAAATCGGAAATGGCTAATAAGATTCGACCTTCTTGTTCCTCAGAATTTTTATAGTTTTTATTGCGAATTGGTGGCATATTAACGCGTTGAATTATATAGAATTGTTATGGGACGCGTTTTTGGGTGGAAGTGGCGGTTCGGGGGTAGTGGCGGTTCGGGGGTGGATTACGTTATAGCATTCATTGGCTGTGACTTATCGATTCTTGTGACAGGAGCCTTACATTTATTAGAATTTTAAAGAATAAGATTATTCTTAATTTATCTATATCTTCTAAAACACTTTTAAATTAGATTTATATTACCAATAACTAATCTAAAAAAATTCATCTGCATTGATTTGATATTAAATAAATTATAATACTATCTAATAAAGATTTTTAAAATAATAGCGCTATATAATATAAAGAACTTTTTCTTATAAATAAAATGCTATTTCTTTATCTTTTATAAAAAGATTTAAATAGTATACTGTTTAGTATAAATCTTATATCTAATAATGTATTCAATTATATTATTTTAATTCTATAT